GTGGGGATCAAAGCCCAAGGGGGTCGCAGAGCAGTCTATCTATGGGGATCCACCCCACAAACTACTGGGGATCCCTTGGCCATGGTGGGGGTTGGGGGAGCTTCAGAGGGAGACCTGGGCTTCTCCTGTTCCCTTGAAAAGTAGAGTTAGAAAACTTTTCATCATGGGAATTCACATGGCAACATTTACTGTGTATCTGCTCATTAGACACACCCCTGAGCCCCTGCTTCTCACAGGCTCATGCTCAGTGCAAAGGAAGTTTTTATGAGCTTGGCTTTGCAAAAGAGAAAGCAGATTAAAAGGACTTGTATGCATGCATATGAGCATAACCAATGGACACAGACACTAGGGGGGTGAGGGCATGTGCTGGGGAGTGGGAGTAGCTGGGGAGAGGTCAATGGGGGAAAAAGAAGACATATGTCATACTTTAATCAATAAAGAATAAAAAATGGTTAAATAATATGTGTCATCCAAGTTGATGAGTAGTGGACTGGGTATTAAACAGGCTTACTATTGCTCAAAGTTGTTGACAGTCACACTGGGCTTAATGGATTTCCTCAGGTGTGACTTCCACTTCCTCTCATGTCAAACAGCTGACACATCAGCATCCCTTTGCTCCTTCCCACCTTGGACCCTGTCTCCTATTTAAATTCTTAGACCACATTTGATGATTGTTTCTTTCGCCCTGAACTCCCATGGCTTGTACAGATCTCAGCACATCTTATCTTACTCCAGAGTATACATGAAACTGCCTCACCCATTCATCCACTGCCCATCTGTAATGCCGAATAACTGAGGGTGTGATAAAGAGTGTGGAAGGAATAAAGCATTTATCTTGGCTCTATGATAGTATAGACTATCATGTCTTGTCTATCTCAAGTCCATACTGGAGGCGTAGGCAGATCAGTGCAAGTGCATGCTGGGAGTGCACCCCTCTGGCCCCAACTGTGATTCCTCCCAGGGTGCTTGGCCTCTTTCTCCAACCTGCCCTTGCACTGCCAGACAAGGGGCAGCTCTGCAGCTGGAGCTTCTTAAAGCAAGCACTTTCCTGTTGCCAGAGCTGTAGCCAGGCCAGGGATGCCACGTCCCTTCTTCCCCAAGGTCAGAGAATTTGGGATTTGCCAATCATTAAGATAAACATTATTATTAAGGTCCTTGGTCCCTAGGAAGGGACTCTTCCAGCTTCAACAAAAAGCATTGTCCCAAGGATGGTTTGTGAATTAATGGGTTTTCTCAGGTGTGACTTCCACTTCCTCTCAAAGCATTGTCCAGGCTGGGCAAGCAGAGCTAAGCACCATCTCCAGGGAACATGCCTGAAGGACCCCCACTGGAGAAAGCTCATATGATTTCACAACATTATGTGCTTCTTCAGTGCAGGCTACCTTGGTTTCCCCACCGTGACCAGCAGTAGGAGCCTTTGCATGTGAAAGATGGCCGCATGGAAGGGGAGCTGGGAAGTCTGGCCCCTCTGCACAGCCCGGGAGAGCAGTCTGAAGGAAGGCAGGAGGGGTGGGTAGGGTGGCCTCTCGAGGCCAAGGAGGAGGCCTGAGTCTCCATACAGAGCCCATGAGGAAGGGTCAGAGAGGAGCCTGGTCTGGGAGAGAAGAGACTCTTAGGCCAGATCAAAGTCTGCCCTCCATGAACTTTCCAGACAAGAACACAAGAAAAACAGTCAGATTCCACTCCACCCCCATCTCTCCCACCACAACTACCCCATCCTCAAGGGGCAAGATCCTTGAAGGCAAAGACTGAGCCTGCCCTTAAAACAGGCTTATGTTAATTAACACATTAAAAATAAAACACAAAACTCAGAAACCATGCCCCTTTCCAACAAATATTAAATGTAAGTTCAAGAGATAATTAATTAACCAAAGCCTTTTACCATGGCTTTTCCTTCTGTTAGAGACACTGTCTGGCAAATGAAGAAAAACATACCATTTACCCACAAAACTAAGCACAATGCCTCATTATTGTACAATTAACCAAAACACAATTGTGTGTAATACAATTACACAGACTACAATCACACAAAAGTAATGATGCAGTGTAGATGGCAATGACTTTCTGTCAGCAAAAATGAGAGCTTCCTTGATTAGAAATTAAGGTATGGTTGGAGATTCCGTTGATAAATGCTTCCTCTATTGATCTACACTTTGCAAAGGCTGAGCTGCCTGATGGAGCTCATCATCAGTAAAGACTACAGGGGCGGCAGCCACTATGTGTAATATCTTTTATGCTCAGGTCCTGACATGAGCACATTGTGGTAAAGCACACATTTTATTACCCAGATGTCTGGTCAAATAGGAAAAAAAGACAGCCCAGCTGGTGTGGCTCAGTGGTTGAGCATCAACCTATGAACCAGGAGGTCACGGTTTAATTCCTGGTCAGAGCACATGCCTGGGTTTCGGGCTCGATTCCTAGTGGGGAGCATGTTGAAGGCAGCCAATCAATGACTCTCTCTCATCATTGATATCTTTCTCTCTCTCTCTCTCTCTCTCTCTCTCTCTCTCTCTCTCTCTCTCTCTTCCTCTCTGAAATAAATAAAAATATATAAGAAAAAAAGATAAAGTAGAAGAGCCAGGGAGTTTGTGCAATTCGATGACCATCTCGTGTGTTGTGGTATTAGCAGCGATACATTCTCATAAAGGTCCGCCAAATCACACTGGTCATTTTGAGCATCAGAGGAGACTATTTTGAGCATCAGAGGAGACTAATCTGTGTAGCTGACTTTGTGCTTACGAGAGGGACCACTACGTCTTTTTTAAAAAAATATATATTTTATTGATTTTTTACAGAGAGGAAGGGAGAGGGATAGAGAGTTAGAAACATTGATGAGAGAGAAACATTGATCAGCTGCCTCTTGCACACTCCCTACTGGGGATGTGCCCTCAACCAAGGTACATGCCCTTGACTGGAATCGAATGAACCTGGGACCCTTCAGTTTGCAGGCCAATGCTCTATTCACTGAGCCAAACCAGTTAGGTCAAGGGACCTACTACTTCTCACTGCTCCCCCAGAATGGGGCAGTACCTCAAAGTCAGGGATGGCTCTCCTTCTAGCCATCTTTCTTACTATTTCCTGAGTACTATTTCAGTAGGCAGACCCGACTGCTGTCCTTTCTGATTTTTGCCTAGAGCATGAAGACAAATTCCATGGGCACTCAAAGTTCTTCATGTTAATACCGACGCCCATCTCTAACCATATTCTCACCATGTGCTGCACCACAGTGCCCTGCCATCCTCACTGAGCTATATTTTATTAAATCTAAGATACCATTATTTGTAAGACATGCCACTATTTTATATGCCAATAAGAGAAGTAAATTTTGCCAATGAAACTATTACTATTTGTGGAGAATGGCTACAGTGTTTGGACAGGTTCAAGCCTCAGACTAATGAGAGGGCACAGTTCTCTCATTGCCATGTGCAAGTCCCAGCTTGGCAGGCAGAACCCTCCCAGCACAATTATAGCCAACAGCTATACTTGTAAGCTTGAACCTATGGTCCAAACACGTGGCTCTATGTGCCTGAGTGATGTAGGCTTGATAGAGGTCAGGTGCATGTAACTGAGTAGGATCGAAACCCATGAGAATGTTGTAAACATCTTGACCACGCCCTTACTTTGCCTCGTGGAATCTGGCTATAAAATAAAGACATGGCTTTTAGTCCATGGCACTGTCTCTCCATCAGGGAGCAGCATACCACCCAGACCCAGCTTTTATTCTCTTGTCTGTCTTTTCTCAACCCTTCACTGCCCCCTCTCAGGGTCACTAAAGCAGGCTGAGCTGGCATGACACATAAGGAGCCCTGGGGCTGAGATGCCATGGCTGTGCCAGCTCGCCACAACTATCAGCTTTAAAATGTATCCAAATATTACATATTTTAAAATGGATGTGTAATATTTGTATTGAATTGATGAAATACTTGCAAGCATGGCCCTTCCTATTTCTGTGCCATTTGACATGCTGCCTCCTGTCAACTCTTCCTCCACCCCCACCCCTCAGCCAGGTCTCCCTGTCCTATAAGATTCAGCTCAGCACACTTTCTGAAAACCATATCGCCCTCATTCTCCCTGTGCCAGGCTATGTTGCTGTTGCCATATGTCCTACAAATAAGGGTGACTTCTTGGTCATTTATCGCCCTTCGTTGTAATGGCTAATTTATTTCCTGATGAAAATTAAGTAAAGACCTTATTTCACTGACACATAGGCTTGTAACTAACACTCATCATTCACCCATTTAATAGATGGTATTTTAACCAGGGCGAGTAGAATTAGAAAGAAGGAGGCAAGCACTAGAGAAGAAACTTGGGGAACATGACAAACCTAGTTGAAAATTCAGAATCATCCTTTTTAATTGTCTTTAGTGTGTCTTTGAATCTAGAAACTTCCAATATAAGAGAAGCCAGATCCCAGGAGAAAGAGAGACACAGAGCTCCTGCAGGATGTGTGGCTGCAGTGAATGTGCGGGTTTTCCCTGACAGAATCTCATCTCTGCTGAGCCCCAGAAGAAAAAAACTGAGGGGCAGTGACTGCCAAGGCCAGGGTCCAGGCCTGTCTGTGTACAGTGGGCACTGCCTACCTTATACTCTAGGGTCCCACAGGGCCCGAGGCTCACCCACTGCGAGAGGACACCCACTGCACTGAAAAAGAAGATGGTTTAGGAGGAAAAAGTGATTCCTCCCTCCTCTCCACTTTACTCTTAACTTCAGAGTCATCAAGTGGCGTTTATGCACAAAACTTTAATCCTTTCACAAATTTGTAGTTTGATTTAACTTGCATAACTCATTTACTGCAAGTCAACATGAATAGAGACTCAACTAATTTAAGCCGTTTTTCTCTGGATCTGAAATCATTTCAGAGATATTTTCCATTAGGCAACTCAATTATATCTAAAGTGGCTAAAGTCCATGGATTAGAATTTTGCTTAAAGAGCACATATTTAGAACAGTGAAAATGGGAAGAGGGGGTGGGAGAACAGAGGAGACAAGGCAATAATTACCTGTCTTTGATGCTACACAGATCAATGTGTAAATCACTAAAATTCCCCAGGGAGCCTTGCTGAACTGAAATGAGGTCCTTGGGCTGGTTATCAATAAAGATGAGCCTCATGCAGCCTTGGAAAGCCTCGATAGGATTTAAGCATTGGGGAGCGGTGAGATTGTCAGGGCAGCCTGTGGGGCAGAGAACAAAAATGAAGAACACTGAGATGATCAGTCATTGCTCTGGCGACCTACCCATGGGAGACCTTGAGGTCTAATTATTGTGGTGCTTTTTCACTCACAGAAGTGCACACAGTTTAGTTGTAAATCCTAGCGTTTACAGAGAGGGGACAGAATTGGTTCAAAAGGGGGCAGCCTCCATCACTGTACAGAGCTAAAACCAAAAGTATGGAAGGGACTACCAACAATGTAACATGCATCTTGTTCCTCTTTTTTCCCTGCATCAGCTGTGTGCCAGGCTTCTGCCCAGGACACTTCACTCATTTCAAGAACACAACACTTTATCACTACCCAGGGGTGTCGGCTCTGTCCTGAAACACACTTCTAACTGCACAATTCAATTCTGGATTAACTTTCAAAGGAAATTATGCTTTGGGTAAGGATGGTGACAGAGTGATTATCTGGTTAATTGTCAGCATTAACAAACTAAATGCACCCGACAAAGGTACATGTAGAAACATAACTGGAATTTTGAAGTGTTGTGCAAACTAAATCCAGACACTAAAGGGACTAAGGATTTAAATGCACACAGTTATTGGGCTGTAATAGCAGGCGCGGAAGGTTAACACCATACATTTTTACAAAGGTGTTCTTTAAAAACAATGAATCATGTATATTTAGCATAGCCTGCCACCTGGGCATCTACTCCTCATCAAGACAGGTAGAGAGTGAATAGGTATATCAGTGCTTGAGCACCTTATAAACTACATCTTAATTGTCTTAATAGGTTCAGACCATATGGGAATGCAAGCTTGAAAATATGGCAATAACCCATAAATAACTGGGAATTATTTCCGCCATCTCTAATAGACAGTCACTGCTGGGCTGAAGTCTGGCAGCTGGTTAACAGCCCACAAGCACACACTATAAAGTGAAGAGAAATGTTACGACTTCTAATTGAGGCTGTAGAGAGAATTTATGTAAGTTGACTATTATTACTCAATCTCGTTTTTTACCTTCCTTAAGTTTACAGTCTACTTGTGGGACATTTTTTTCAAACGCTGCTCAAATCACAGATTCATCTTTACCTTCTGAGTGCAGTGCCCTTAAGAATCACCTCCAGGGATACTTCTTCAACTGGGGCAGGGGGCATTTTTACTTTGAGGCATTCAGGTGCTACACATCATAATTATTGCTCAGCACTTTTCAAAATAATAAATACGAGATCACTTTTCTCTCTGTTAGAAGCATTGCATGTGATGCAAAATTACTCGCTTTTGTGCTACATGCGTTGGCATCCCTTTGCTGTATGTTGTGGAGAACACAGATCTGGGGGTGAATCCTGGTTCTGCTACTCACACAAATTATTTCATCTAAGTAAACACTACTCTTACTTTCTGTGGATCAGGGTTACTGTTACCTACTTCACAAAGTCACCACATGAATTAAGTGAGCTAAAACACTTGCAGAGAACGGAAGTGTTCTCCCTTTAAGGACTTTGTTGTCATGTACACATGGAGGAGATGTAGAGTGAGGGACAGAGTCCCTTCCTGAGTCCCTAAAATCAAAGCGCAAATATATGATGGCTCCCACTGCTTCTCTCTTGGGACACCCCCATGTGTGTACTGCTTCTGTGCAAAATATATCTTATATTTCAAAGTTTAATCACATGTCAGTGGTCTGAGAAAAGTGATTTGTAAATTCTATTGGAGACTGCACCTTATGATTTTACACACCATTTCTCTTCAGTTTCCTCATGGAAAAAGGATTGGTAATCATAGACCAGGCTCAGTCCATGCCTATATTTACAAAGTCTGAAGCCAGTTTGTCCATTCCTTGCCAGATGGGAAGCCCTGTGTTAGGCAGGTAAACCTTGACCCCAGGGAACTGTCCCAACAATTCTGCCCTGTCTCTCATCACCTAGATTGGGAAGTTCAGGGCCCATAGGTGTCTTGTTCATGGTCAGACAGACACTGAGGTTAATTGCTCCTTAGAGATGGTTTATAAAATATAAACACATGGGCAGAAAATTAGGTATTATTTTTCTTAATGAAGGAAATTCCTTGAAAAAGACTAAATAAAAATATATCTGCACCTATAAAAATGCAGTAGGTGGCTAATTACTTGTATGCTTGTGTTTTTTTTTTTTTTAATCTTTACCTGTTTGCTTGTGGTATATATATATATATATCCCCTACTGGGGATCGAGCCTGCAACCCAGGCATGTGCTCTTGACTTGAATCGAACCTGGGATCCTTCAGTCCGCAGGCCAATGCTCTATCCATTGAGCCAAACCAGCTAGGGCTGTTTGCCTGTGTTTTGCTGTAGAAAAAGCTCCGAGGATTCACCCAACATTGGAGAGGGTGGAGTCTCTGACTACTCCACAAGGAGCTACTTGCTCATGGGCCTCCTAGGTCTTTCTCATGGGCATGGCCTCCAGGGAGGTGGGGTCAGAGGCAGTAGGTGCCAAAGGAGTGGCCTTGTGGTTGAGTGTGCTGGCTGTGCATTCTTCCCTGGATACTTCCTCTTTCAGGCACTGCTGACTGTTGGTGCTTTCTCCAAGTTTACAGCTGAGTTTCCCCTTTCGAATGTGATCAGGGAGCCTGCTATGCTATAAAAAATCTCCTTTGGATGAATTACATAACACCAGCTCTTATTGCTAGTCTTTTTTTCCTCAGCACTGACCTAGATAATTTATATCTGCACAGCTGTGAAAGGGCTTGCTTCCCATTATTTTGGGCTTAGGGGTGGGTGTTTGTGTCTCTATGTATGTTTGGGGAGGTGGCACCTGTGTGAGTGAGTGTGTGTGAATATGTGTCTGTTGGAAGTAGGTCTAATTGACAAAAGAAGAATCATCATAGTAAAATAATTGCCCACTACATTCTCCCTCTTTCCTTTATTTTCAGCCTCGAAGCTGAGTAATTTACCTCCAAAGTAATAGCTATTTCCAGAATAAATCTGTATCTGGCTGGTGTCCTGAGCAGGGGACGCTGCATCGTTATCCAGGGTGAGAGTGATGCGATTCCTCCTGGCGTTGATGCTGACTGAATGCCACAAGCCATCGTTCAAGTTGCTGCCTGCAAGAGAAACAGGGAGAGCAGGTGTTGGGATGAATGGTCGAGAGCTCGGGGAGGGGCCCGCTCCTTCCCGGCCACGGTCCCTGTGCGTTCTCTGAGTGGTTCCCACTCATCATTTCGCTCAAACCAAACCCTCACAAGGCTCATTTTTCTTTCTCTTTTTTACCACTTTTTTCTATTTTTAAGTGGCTGAACAACTCCAGCTGCTTGCTTTAGGAATAAAAGGGGAAAACATAGATTTGTATGTAAACTACAACCAAGGGCACAGGACACATTAATTGATCCCTTGAGATATAAATGCAGAGCAAAATGCTGAAAACAAAAAGACTCTTAAAATGTTCCTGGTGGTTTTATCTCTGGGTTGTCAGGTTACAGGCATTTTTTGTTTTCTAATATTTTTCTACTAATGCATATGTAAATAAAATATTTTTAAAGGCAAAGGTAGAAGAGGAAAGCTAGAGCCGGAGGGTGTGCAGGCAGAGGAGGTGTCCTGTTGGAGAGGTAACAGCCGAGCCAGTTCCCACCTCCCCTGGCCCCTGATAGGACACTGGCTGAATGACCAGCATGCCCAAGCTTCGGTTTCATTGCCTGCAATGCCATAGTTTCTCCTCTGTGCCACCGTTAAGGGGAAGAGTTGTGATCAGGCCTGGGCCAGATGGTGGCATAGTAGGTATTTATTAAAAGTTCATTCCTCTCTTGTTCTTTGGCTTAGATGTCTGTGCTGGCCGACCTTACTAAGGAGACTGTGTTGGAAATTAGTCATGAGGGTAGCAATTATTTCCTCTAAAAGTTTGTCATTTCTGAAGGCTTTTCTACTGCAAAGGGCTTGCTGAAGATCACAGCCCCATAACCAGATGAGTCGCCATGGTTGTCTATACAGGAACAGAGAGCCACACATTTCTACACACTCATGTATTCTACCCTGCTTCCTTTACTTTGCCTCAGTTTCCTCTCTTGCAAAATGGGCATAACAGTTACACTTATAGGGTATTGTTAGCAGAGCAGCATATGTCGAACAGTTTATATCACGTAATAAGAAGATAATGTTAAAACAAATGGGCACACAGTGACTACAAGACAGTCCCTGCACTGACGAGTATAGACACTGACCTCGCATGGTCTCTGTCCTGGGTAGGCCACGGTTAAGAGAAGAGACATATGCAAAGTGCATCAGGCTAGCAGTGGGTGTACGCCTGCACGTGGTATTTTGTGGAAGAGCGACACTCAAGGGGCCAAAGAGCCGCATGTGGCTCGCGAGCCACGGTTTGCTGACCACGGGTAGTGGGACAGACAGTGAAGCAGGCTCTTGCAATTCTAGGAGAACAGTGAATGTGTGGCCAAGAGGAAAGAAGGAAGACCTAACCAACTCCATGTGAGGACCCTAACAGGCTTCATGAAAGAGGGGGCAGCAGTTTAGGAATTCACAAAGGAGAGGGTAGCAGTTTAGGAATGCTTTGGAAATGAGCAAGAGTTTGCCACTCCCACAGCCAGAGTTCCAGGAGATGCAGAGCCTGCACAAAGAGCAAGGCCTGGAGTGAGAGGCTGGGAGAACAGCAGGAAGGCAGGTGCAAAGAAGACACTCACCCTGGTCCCCGCCTGCTGCGCTAAGGAAGGGGTTTCAACAAAGTTCTTTGACATGTGGTTCTGGAGGGCACTTTAACCAAGCCAGTTCTGTCAGAATCTCTGAGGATGGGGCCCCAGGCATTTGAATTTTAAAAAAGCACCCCTGGGTGATTCCAATGTCCAGCCAGGAATTAAAATCACTGTTTTAGAATGTGGGAGTCCATGGGGTTCCTTAGCATGGGAATCACCTGGCTGGAGGGGCATATTAAAAGACTGCGAGCTAAGAGGAGACAGGCTAGAAGCGGGACTGGTGGAGCCTATTGCTTGCACAGCCCCAGGAGACAGAAGGATGAAGTCTCAGCCAGAGTAACAACCATGCAAAGGGGCAGTAAGGGGTGGATTAAGAGCGATTCCCTGAGGCAGAAGAGATCAGACTTGGGAAAGCCTTCTGGAGCCTCCAGGAGGAACCAGCTAGAAAGAATGAGTTCAAAATTGGAACAGAGGTCTACAGGCTCCTCGGGAAAGCCACCGACATGCTTGTGCCTGAGCCCTGGATGTCTGGGGAAGCTGCCTGGGAGAGCACAGCACAAGGCTGCAGCCCAATTCCATGGCGATGGGCAGCTTGTCCCACCTGCTCAGAACAGCCCAGATAGAGGGCCCCTCCTGCATTTGCAGCCGCTCCCTAGCAGCCAGTCTTTCCTGCAGCCCTGAACACCTATAGGGTAAAGAGGAGAACCCGGGGGCTGCTCATCCTGGTCCCCTACCTTCCCCCAAAGCCCAGCGTTGGGTCCTAACCACAGGGATTCCTCTAATGAGGTGGAGGGTCTGTCAGGTGTTTCCTGGGGATGAACATTTGAATACTCTCAGAGACATAGCCAGCTTTAGGTCCTCACTTTTAAACTTCATTTGCATAGTACTTTAAATACATTGGCATAACATATGAGGCTGCATTTGCAGAGAGACTATTGACTGTTTGGTTTGGAGATCAGGAAGGAATTCAACAAAGAGGGAGTAAATAGGCCCTAAGGGCCCAGGTACCCTGCAGAAGGAATTACACACAGAGGCCACAGGAAGTGTCCATCTAATTAGAGATACGTTCTCTAATTACATCACAGATGGACCAGGCTGAAGAGCAAAGTCTGCTCAGTGAGGGGGCAGGGCCAGCGCATCAGCATGATTCTGGGTCTCCTCCCCGTCCCACATCACTATTCAGTTCTGTTTTGTTTGTTTTTTTCTTTAAATTGTTTTAATTTTTCAATTAAAGTTGACATATAATATTATATTTGTTTCATGTGTACAACCCCGTGATTAGACACTATATAACTTACTGAGTGATCATCTCTACAAATCAGGTGCCCATCTTACACCATACATGGTTATTAAGATATTTTAAATATATTCCATATGCTGAACTTTAATCCCTGTGACTATTCTGTAACCACCAAATTGTTCTTCTGAATCCATTACTTTTTCACCAATACCCCCAATCCCCTCCCATCTGCCAACCATCAAAATGTTCTTTGTTCTATGAGTCTGTTTCTGTTCAGCTTATTCATTTATTTTATTTTTAGATTAAATTTTTGATTTATTTGTACTTATTACCATTTTATAATCTTTGTTTTCATCTTTTCTTCTTCTTAAAGAAGACCCCTAATTAGACATTCCTTATACTACTGCCTTGATGGTGATGAACTCCTTTAGCTTTTTCTTATCTAGGAAGCTCTTTATATGTCCTATTCTAAATGTAGCTTCACTGGGTAGAGTGATCTTGGTTATTGGTCCTTCTTTTCATCACTTTGAATAATTCTTGCCAATGACTTCTGGCCTGAAATGTTTCTGTTGAAAAATTAGCAGAGTCTTACGGGAGCTCCCTTGTAGGTAACTGCTTTTCTCTTGCTGCTTTTAAGATCCTCTCTATAACCTTTGCTATTTTAATAGACACACACAGTAAGGGGGTGAGGGCTTGTAGGGAGGGGTGGTGGAGGAGAAGTCAATGGGAAAAAAAGGAGACTCATGTAATGCCTTAAACATTTAATTATGATGTCCTTTGGTGTGGGCCTCTTTGGGTTCATCTTGTTTTGGCTTTTCTGTGCTTCCTGGACTTGTATGTCTAGTTCTTTCACCAGGATAGGGAAATTTTGTTGTCATTCTTTTCTCAAATAGGATTTCAATATCTTGCTCTCTTTCTTCGCCTTCTGGTACCAACATGATGTGAATGTTGGTACACTTGAAGGTTCCAGAGGCTCCTTAAACTATTCTCATTTTTTGGATTCATTTTTCTTTTTGCTGTTCTGTTTTTTTGTTGTTGTTGTTGTGTGTGTGTGTGTGTTTTTTTTTCTGCTTCCTTATCTTCTAAACCTCTGATTTGATCCTCTGCTTCCTCTACTCCATTGTTCATTCCCTGTAATGTATTCTTCATTTCTGTTAATGTATTATTCACTTCTGGCTCTTTTTTACATTTTCTAGTTCCCTTTTTATTACCTATCTCTTTGTTGAAGTTCTCACTAAAGTTATCTACTCCTCCCCTAAGTCCATAGAGTATCCTTATAATCAGTATTTTGAACTCTGCATTGAGTAGATCATTGAGTAGATTGCTTGTCTCCATTTTGTTTAGTTCTCTTTCTGGAGCTTTGTTCTTTTATTATTATTATTATTATTTTAGACATGTTTCTTTGTCTCTTCATTTAGGCCACCATGCTGTATTTGTTTCTATGTACTAGATGAAGCTGCTATGTTTCTTGAGCTTGGTAAAGTGGCCTTATATAGCAAGTTTTCGGTAAGGTCCATCATCACAGCTTCCTCAATCATTCCAGCTGTCTACTCCAATCCCCCAACCAATGCACAACAGGTTGTATATACCACCATCCTGTTGTGGTTGAGCCTTGATTGCTATTGGCATACCAATAGGAGGAATTTATCCCCAGGCTGATTGGCTGTAAGGACTGGTTTGAGCACCATGGACGGTCACCCCACTGAGCAGGACTTAGTTCAACAAGACTCCCTTGAGTGTCCCTGTGGAGGTAGTTGGGTGGTGCTTTGATGTGGCCTGAAGCTTTCCACTGTATATGCTGTCTCTGAGGCCTCCCAGGAGGTTCAGGCCAAGTCAGTCAGCACCATCTGTGTTCTGCCTGAGGCCACCCAGCATGAGCGGAAAAAGCAATCTGCAGATGGTTGTTACTTGTGCTGGGCTTTGAGGTTCCCAAGAGAAGCCAATCAACCCTGGGGCCACTGAACAAGAGGCAAGGGACAGGCCAAGGCCAGATGCTGCTTATTTGAAAGCTTATGAAAAGTCTGAAGCAAGATCTAAGATAGGCCATTCATATGGTAAAACCACTGGAAACAGCTTGGGTAAGCCCTTAAGTTGGGTGGGGTGAGGTCTAGGGAGTCACCAGGGAAAGGTGGGCAGTGTTAGCTGGATATGATGCCTGCCTGTCAGC